CAAAAATTAACCTTTTAAAATTTTAAAAATTAAATTAATTAATTACTAAGTCTGCATTACTATTAATCTTCTCATCGTTCCTATCACCCATCTCCTCCCACTTATGACTGTGTGACTGTAACCTTGTTGCTGGTATCCTTACGATTTATATTGATATTGTTTCCTGATTGCTTATTTTTTCCCTATGACTATCATTAAGTATTGTACTTTATGATTCTTGACGAATGTATCTTTTCTTTTATGTACACCGAGAGCGTATGCACCAAGACAAATTCCTTGTGTGGCCAACCACACTTGGCCAGTAAAGAATTCTATTCTATTCTAACCAAGTTCAACAAAAGCAAACCTGTGACTCTCTGTGGCTGACGGCTGACAGAGCACACTGACACACAAACCCTTTTCCTTTCATCATTTTTGATAACTCGTGAGTTTTCAGCAGGCTTCTAGAATGACAGAAAAAAATCAGTTGTATAAAATGTGACTACTTAATCATCAATGAAACAGGATGAAAAAATAATACTCCTAGCAACAAACCTCCAATGCAATTAGATGAGTTAGAGCTTTTTATATCTCTTTGGTACCATCTCAATGTTCTCTGGACTTTTGTAGTGCAGATATGATAGCCCTATAAAGAGGCCCTGTTCAGCTTCATGAAGCTATTATTATTATTATTTTTTACATGATTTCACTCTATCCTATGTAAATCCATCCAGGCCTGTGAAACAAGAATAAAAATAAATCTTTTTTTTTTTAAAGAAAGCCCAGACTGACCAGTTATAGTTGAAAAACCCTTTTGAAATATTTGTCTCTCATAACTAAGGCATGGAAATAAAGATTTGTTCTAGATGACTGAGAGACAGCAGAACCATCCTCTTGTAAACTCATTAAGTGCACTACCTTGAAAAATAAATGAGACGTAAAATGTTCTCTGAATACTTGACATGGAAAAGGATACTAAAAGGAATGCCAAGGACTGCATAGTTCTGCTACAACATGTTTACTTCTTGGCCAAAACCACAGATTGTTCTGTTTCTTACATTTGGGGCCATTCAGTGAACTATGTGGTATGCACTTTTAAGGGGGGGTAGAAATGATTGATTAATTATTCTGCCTGTCATGACAGTGCTATAGACATACTTAATAAGATTTCCATTGACTTCTCCTGAGATACAATTTAAGACTTTTATTTTCAATAATTTTTTTTAGCCTGCTCATATAGCCAATCTCTATGTGTGATGGAAGAAAAGAGCAAAAACAGCATCATTCATGCTCCAGTCTACAGAATTGAAGTGCATTCAGAAGTCAAATTCAGCTTTCAAATGCCCATTTCATAAAGAATAGTTTTTGAAATTTTATGAATACTTTTGAAATTTTATTAAACTATGCAATTTATCTAGAAAAGCTAAATGTCAATTCATACATTGGACACATTTCTTTATGTACACTATTTAATCCTGATGCCCTCACAGTCTCTCATATACCAGAGGCATTCAAGTGTTGAAATAAATAGAGGCATTGAAATAAATAAATCTTTCATTTATTTATCTATTTATTTCATCCATGTCACTTCAATTGTACCAGTACAACTCTAATCAGCCTACAGCAGGGGTCTCAAACTCAATTTCATTGACGGCCGCATCAGGGTTGTGTTTGACTTTGGGGGCCAGGGCGGGCATGGCCAGCTTGACATCACTCGTGTCGGGGGTGAGTGGCCCCAACACTCTGCCAATGAAAAGGGGCTTCTGAACTTTGTTTTCGGCTGTGACGGCCTCCTGCAACCCTCTGCCAGTAAAAACGGAGCTTGGGAGGGCCACATGCGCCCTTCCTGAGCTCCATTTTTGCTGGCAGAGGCACCACAGGCCGGTCCTTCACTGTTTCCAGGGCGGCCCCATGGGCCAGATCTAAGCACCCTACAGGCTGGATCTAGCCCCCGGGCCTTGAGTTTGACAACCCTGACCTACAGCATAATATATATTTTTAAAAGTCCAAATGTATTAGACATGTGTATGTTAAATATATATACTATCAATATAAATTTAACTACATCATAAAACCATAAAATAACACAAATTGCTGGGTTCATCTGAATCTGAACATATCTCACTTAAGTACCCAAATGCTCATCTAAAAAGCCATATTTTAAGATTTTCTGAGTATAAGAGATGATATGGGGGTAGAGTATTCAACAGGAGAAAGGGAGTAGGGTATTCAACAGGAGAAAGAATATTAACACACCTCGGAGCTGGCAGAGACTTTCCGTAAACACTCTGCCCAGGCACACTGAGCAGGCAGTCACGAAACCGTGGTCCTAAGTCACATGACATTTTAGAGGTCCTCACCAGGACTTTGAATTACACTTGGAGACAAACTCCCTGCAATATTGTTAGCCTGATTAATATGCAGCCTAATGCATTGTGTACCAACTATAGTTTCCAGGAGGTCTTTGCAGGTGGCCCATCTAGAATGCATTACAGTATTGAAACTCATTTGGTGATAAGAAAGTATAGCCAGTGCCTTCTGCTTCAACAATAGCAATAGCACTTAGATTTATATACCGCTTCATAGTGCTTTACAGACCTCTCTAATCGGTTTACAGAGTCAGCATCTTGGCCCCAACAATCTGGGTCCTCATTTTACCCACCTCAAAAAGATGGAAGGCTGGAGTGAGCAATGAGTTAGCCCTGCAGTTCTGCATTCTAATCACTGTGCCACCAAGAATGGTTGCACCTGGCACATTGCAGAAAAGACAAAGGCCGCCTAGTCTCAATTTCCACTTGCTGTTCCAGTAATCCAGGATTACCTCGGTTCCTGGGGAAGCACATCCCTAGCTATAGGCAAAGTTGAGGCAGTACCTTGCTAGAACCAAGTTTTAACCTATTTCTCCCCTGTAGCCCACAATATTGTGTTGTGACCTCCACTATATCTCCCATTATGACAACCTGCCATAATGATGTATAATGTATTCATATTTAGTCCCAAACTGGATAAATGCCTCCAACAGATTCAAGTAGCGGTAGTCCTCAATTTACAACCATTCAGTGACCATTCAAAGTTACAACAGCACTAAAAAAGGTTACTTATGACTGTTTTTCACACTAATGATGATGCAGCATCCCCATAGTCATATGACCCAAATTCAGATGCTTGGCAACTGGTCCATACTTATGATTGCAGTGCTCCAGTCATGTGATCACCTTTTGCGATCTTCTGACAAGCAAAGTCAGTGGGGAGGACAGATTCACTTAATAAATGTGTTACTAACTTAACAACTACAGTGATTCATTTAACAAATGAGACAAGAAAGGTCGCAAAATAGAGTAAAATTCCCTTAACAACTGTCTAACTAACTAAAACAATTCTGAGTACTTAAGTTGCAGAATGATCCATTTTAAAAAAAGTAAAACATTCACCACATAGTTGTCTTGGATGCAGATTATGATCTTAATCCAGTTATCAGTGAATAGTAACAGACATTTATTATATTTGAAGTGAAGAGTAACAATAGGTCAAATGAGAAACAAAGATTCTTTCCTTTATCTGTCACCATTTTATCCTGGTGGTCAAAAACAATGCAAAGATGTGATGCAGTCTCCAACTACTGTATGTATTTGTGTAGGAGAGGGAGAGGATTTTGCAGAACTCTGAAATGTTTTAACCATGTGAACATGGCTTTGTTCTGCTTAAAAAGTTAGTTTAAAACATATTTTTGTCAAATTTATGTCTACATTTAGTGATTTTCCTGTTTCATGTTGTTATATTGTATGTTTCTCTTCCAATTCTTTTCTAAATATTTTTCTAATCTCATCCAAAATTTTGCTTTCTCATAACTGATGTTCAATTTTAAAATATAACTATCCCTAGATATTCATATCAGAGTATTAATGTCCAGTGCAAAGCCATAATGTAGTAATAGCAATAGCACTTAGATTAATAATCTTACTTTCTAATAATAATAATGATGATAATAATGTTAGACCACCAAATCCAGGTTGCAAAAACTCATTTCTTTGCTGACATACAGTATTTATTCATATTTTTGCTACTCGTAAAGGTATCTCAAATGATGAAATTTTATCAGAATCCTTAAAAAGCGGTTCTACAACCATAACGTAAAAAGTTATGGTTGTAGAACCATAACTACATTTTACGATCTTTATGACTGACACCACAAAAATGTTAACACGTTAAACCGACTGAACATTTTTTAATGTTTCTTTGTAACGTTTCTTGGTGTAAACGTCAAATGTATGAATTTCATGTGCCAGGCCAGTGTTTTTCAACTTTCAAGGTGTATGGACTTCAACTCCCAGAATTCCCCAGCCATCAAGCTGCTAGGGGGAACTCTGGGTGTTGAAGTGCACACATCTTAAAAGTTGTCAAAGTTGAGAAACACTGAGCTAGGGCTAGGCAGAGAACCAAAGGCATTTAATTCGCCTGGTATCTTCTGAACTGTCAGGGTAAATCGCCAGAAGAGATGCTTCTTTTAAAATGAGGGTCAGTCACTCCAAATAGACCTCTTAACTTTATACACCCCACATCAATTCGTGGTGACAGAATTCTCCCACGTTGCCTCATGGCGCTCCTGCTTCAGGGATGCAGGGCAGAGAAGCCTGTACAGCAAAGGGCCGTTTCTATTGGTTCATCCCATCCTCGCGTGCGGGTGCAACCGATTATTCAAATCCTCTCTCTTTTGGACCGGCTGACGTCACAAGTCTCCCGCCCAACGTCTGGCAGGAAAAGCTTCCGCCCGGTCAACGGAATGCAAGTTTTATTTTCCTCTTAAGCAAGGAAGAAATTTTTAGACTCCGGTCGCCGTTTCCGCACAACAAACGCTCCCCTAGCCGCGTGCTCATTTACTTCCACGAAGCCGCGTCTCTCTCCATGGGAGTGACCTTCCCTCAGCCGGTAGCGCGTCTCGGGTAGTATTTCCGGGTGGTAGAGCGTGACCTCTGCCCTCGTGACGTTGCTCTCTCCTTTCCGGTGCTGGCTGCCGCCTGCAGAGACGCTCGAGTAAGTGGCTGGTGCGGCCCTTTTTCTATCCAGCTCCATCCTCGCGGATCCGGCCCTCTCCGCTCCCCTCGGTGCTGTCAGTCGGCTACTCACCCCTAACTGCGCGAGGAAGGCAACGGAGGGCGAGGTTGGGGGCCTTTGTTTCTGCACAGGGATCCGTTGTTTTAAGGAGGCCCGGTCGATGGGGTGGTTGGGGTGGTTGGACAGGCCTCTTGAAACCCCATATCACCCGGTCTCTGGGATAGGTGGTGTTTTTTTTTGTTTTTTGTTTTTTTTTAAGGTTTGGGCCTCATCAGCAGGCTTTCCCCCAACTTCGCGAATGTTCTCTCTAAGCTGTGTATCTTTTCCCTCGGCAGACAAACCGTCTTTACTTTCATCATCCATAAAAGAGCTGAGGCTGAAAAGTGTGGCCAAAACCATCTATTTAAACATGTTTATGTGGCTGTTTTTTTTATGCGCTAGCTGTTCTCCCTCCTTTTGAGGGTAGAGGAGTTTTGAGCAGGGAAGATGGTTGTATTGACTAAAACTCCAGGAATATTACGTCCAGTAACTGGATGTAATATCTCTAAGCCTGTACCACGTGGGTTTAATACTGGAACTTTTTTGCTTTGCAAAAAGGTGTGGAATTCAAGTCTGCCTGGTAGGCTATTTCATTTAAGTTCACCCTGATTTATTTAAAAATGCCATGTACCTTAACTACATTTGTAATGCATTTGAAGCAAAAGTGGCAATAGAAGTCTTTCTGAAAGCAATGAGATTTAAGTAAATCTTAATTATAGCAGTATATTATAACTATATTGTATAGTTATTGTAAAGGTAATGGTCCAAGTCGCATCTTAAATTTTTGATCTTGTTTGATATGGAAAGTTCTCATCCAAATTCGTGTTTATCAGAAAATTAGGAAAATTACCAGAAATCCTATGAACAGGGAACCTAATTTATAAAACAGTAAATATTGAAATTGCTAGATTTTCCATGAGATTGCTGTCTGGGTATCCATACACTCCTGCATATCTATACATGTTTGCATATATAATTTCTTCTTCTTTACTTTAATTATTCAGTGGGCAATTAGATGGAGCAACCATTGGTGTTGTAAGTTCTCCCTAATCACAATGGAGCTCTTTTGTTCTTCAGTATTTTTTTTCAGTGAACACTATTTGACTATTGTCCTCATGTGAGAACATAGCTTCCAAAATTAGTAAACCTTTAATTTTCAGCTGCATAATTAATACAAAGGTAGCATAATTCATAAGTAAAATACTAAATATTGAAGTGATGGTACAGAAATGCCCAGATCATTGTTCTAACTTGGTAGGTATATAACTTGTAGGTAACAACAAGAGGGAAGTGGGGAACGTTAACATTTAAATACTCATACTCTTTACGTTGAAGAAGCTATAATTGACTGATGTGATAACCTGAAAGTCTCCATCATCTGTTGCTTCCTTTTTAAAGCCACCAACAAGTTGCTTGAAGTGTGACACAAAAGAGCCAACTATATATATTTCTTCTGAAATGGATGTCTCTTATTGTGGGGATAAATAAGTTGTGGATTGCTTATGTGTTGAGGATAACATTTTGGGACCTCTTGGATAATTTGCATGTATTTAAGGGGAAAGTGGATCCCTTAAGCACAAACTTAAGTATTTAAACTTCATATCAGTAGTGGACCATTTTCCCAAAAGGTTTAATGATGTTGCCCTGCCCATGCTGATACCACAATACTCATGCCCCATGCAGTTCTTGGGACAGAAAGCATATTCCCAGTTCAGGAAAGAGTGTCTGCTACTTTCCTGGAGATCAGAGTGGGAAATAATCCCCACTGTAGCTATGTATAAGGCTCTGATTAGAAGTTGTGAATCAGCTTTATTATATATGATTGGGGAAGGGGGTTCTTTCCTCAACTTGGTATTTAGATTTTTATAGTTTGTCTACTTCAAAAGAAAGTAATAATAGTCTATTTCTGTCTATTCCATAATTTGTTGTTTTATACAGAAATGGCTCCCCGTAAGGGTAAGGAAAAGAAGGAAGAGCAGGTTATAAGTTTGGGACCACAGGTTGCTGAAGGAGAAAATGTGTTTGGAGTTTGCCACATCTTTGCTTCCTTCAATGATACATTTGTCCATGTAACTGACCTGTCTGGCAAGTGAGTATCTCTACTTGTGAAAGGATGATAATATTTACAAGATTGTAATAGACGATCTTGGCAATAGATGTCAAGACTTATTTATGTCAAAAGGCCTATAATATTCACCCAGCCTGAACTTAAAGGAAACACTGTCTACTTGGGCATATACATACTTAGCATTGTAACTTTCGTGGAGCAGAGTATTATGTTTTATTACCATAGCTGAACCCCAGGTGAAGTATCTACTCTTGGAACCTTTTTGTTTAGAAACACTATTGTTTCTGTTAAGAGATGTAATGGTATTACAATCAAGCAGAAACTTTAACCCTAACTCTGGGAATTGTTTTATTCATACTGTATTTTAAAGACAAATTTGCAAAGAAGTTATGTTTAACTATATGCTTTTTGTCTCTGGTGAAGGAAAGGCTGGGATTAAGTTCATCTATAAGGCATTTCTTATTTTCTCAGGGAAACTATCTGCCGAGTAACTGGTGGCATGAAAGTGAAGGCCGACAGGGATGAGTCTTCTCCTTATGCTGCTATGCTGGCTGCTCAAGATGTAGCACAAAGATGCAAGGAACTGGGAATCACTGCCCTTCATATCAAACTGCGGGCTACGGGTGGAAATAGGTAAGGGGGGAGCCAGTGCTTCATTTATCTCTCTCTTGTGCAAATATTTTCACATGTACTCCTTGTCAGCAGGGTGGATAAAAACCGATTTTTTTTAAATAAAAAAAATCAGTTTTTTTTTAATTGAAATCGGATTTATTTTAATAAAATGTTTTTGTAGTAAAAAACTATCTAAAGATAGTTTTCTATTTAAGATACATTAATAATTTAGTTTATTCAGCATGAAATGGAGCTTAGTTATGTAGCATGGGGCTGTCTTCTGCAATATTGGGACTGTTGACTGAGTCAACAGCGGGTCAGGAGGAGCTGCTGCAGGACAGAAATGGAAAGTATTATTCTGTGGAATCATTTGGAGATGTAGCTGTAGCTGTTGGAAGAATGTTCTATTAATCTGAATGCAAATATTTATCTAATATAGTGGATATTTATGGATATTTGGCTGATTTGATGTTATGGTATTGTTTATACTCTATCCTTTTTTTTTTTTTTTTTTAAATGAGTTTTACTAGTTTTACTGCAGTGGAATAGGGTTTTCTGTAGTTTTGAGTTTACTATTTTGGCTTGAGCCATGCCATTCTTGGCTCCTTTGGGCAGCCAGGCATCATGTGAGCAGCTGGTTCAATGTTTCTGTGAGGAAAATAGCATAGTCTTCAACCTTCTCTTTTTAGGGAAAGTTGAAAAGGTGGTAGGAAGATCCTAGAGGAAATGGATTATCTAGATCCTTTTCAGTCAGGATTCAACCTTGCCTATGAGACAGTAATGGTGTTGGTTGTTCTAATGGATTGCCTTTTTTGGAATCTTGGGGAAGGGACTGGTCCTATTCGATCTCTCAGACAAACTTGGCCATAGTACCCTTCTTGGAAATGCAAGGATTGGGACATTACCGGTAATTCTGCTTCTACCGGAATGAGTAATTAGAGTTGATGCTTGTGGGTGACAAGTGCTCAAGCCCTTGGGAATTCAGCATTTTATCCCATGTTTATTGGAACCATTAGCAGAGATCATCCACAAATGAATGGTGAGACATCATCATTGGGTATACATTGCTACCTTGGTCCAGGCTAGAAATACTGAGTTAGTTCAAGATCTAGTATACAGATGCCAATAAATATCTGGACATCCCACTTACAGTTATCCAAGTGGTTGCTGTGAGTGAAAACACACTTCTCCAAAGGAGGTGTGACTTGTCCATTTAGATTCTCACTCCTGCTCAAGCAACAGATAGAAAATGTGGCCAATGGGATGGATTTGCTCAGCTTCAGTTCTGCTCAGTTCAGCCAGTTACAGCCTTACTTGCAGTAGGATGCTCTGACATTTGTGCTTTGATCAACACAAGGCTGAATTACTGCAGTTTACTCCTTGGGGGGCTTCTTTTGAAGACAATCTAGGAGCTGCAGCTGCTACAAAATTGACGCCTATTGTAGGACACCAGTGCCAATGTAGAATAATACTTCAAGGTTATTGAACTGATAGCGAGTAGGCTTCTTGGCCCAATTCAAAGTTGTCATTACTTTAGACAGTGTAGCATTGAGAAAAAGGTATCTTACAAAAATTGAATATGTCCAGTCCATTTCAGTCCACTCATCAAAAGAAGGTCTGTTAAGTGTCCCCACTCTGATGCCCACAGAAAGGAATATAGGCCTTTTCTGTAGCATCCACTTTATAGCATTTTCTTCTCTCAAGAAATATGGTTAGCCTTAATTTCTTCGCTTTTCAGAAGCAAATGAAAACGGTTCTGTCCCTTTGGTCCAAGCTAATTGTGAGCACTTCTCTGATAGGAATATAATTGCAATAGGTTTTTGTTGTTGTTATGTACAGATAGGCCTTGTTTAGCGACTGCCTCATTTAGCAGCCATTTGCAGTTACAGTGGTAATGAAAAAGTAACCTTATAACCTGTCCTCCCATTTACGATCTTCACATGTCTGTTAGCAAAGGAAAACTGAAACAAGATAAACGGTTTCACTTGGCAACTGTTTTCAAGTTTTTGATCCGAGTTGTGATCACTAAATGAGGACTGCCTATAACTTCTCTTGCCATGTCACCCAATTGAGATTGGAGTGGATTAGAAATTCTAATAATTAGAACTGGTTTGGCAAAAACAAGCAAAAGAGAGCAGGCATTTTACTAAACTGAATACAAAAGGCACTTGCATTTAAAGACATTCTAAATACGTGTTCTGAATAACTTTTCAGTGGTTTTCCTTTCTTTTGATTTAATCTTAGCTTTACAATTTATAGCAGCTCTTTTGGCAAAAAAGAGCCATGCTATATCAGACCAACCATCTATCTAGCATGGCACTCTGCTACTAAGAGTAATTAACTAGAAAGCTTGAAGTCATGCTGTTTAGTTATATCCTCACTGTTATAAACCAACAAGAAAAAATTAATTGCTGCACTGATGCTGCCCAATACTATTCCATGCCTCCAAATGAAATAAATCCTAAATACAAGTTTCAGTTTTTATTAATGTATGTTTTACTTTCTTTGCAGAACAAAAACTCCTGGACCTGGAGCTCAGTCAGCTCTCCGGGCTTTGGCTCGGTCTGGCATGAAGATTGGGCGCATTGGTAGGTTTTCTGTTGAAGGATATTTTCAACAATGTGCCTCCTGCAATCATTTTCATAGGGAATATAGCTGTTTCTTTATCCTATTACTTTATTTCAACAAACCATTTATTTTGCATTAGATGGTTTGAAAAAGTTCTTGCTAGATAAAATTATTTGATCTATACTGAAACGAGACATTAGAAAAAGATGATCCGGGTAATTAGGGCCTTCAGTTAGAGAGAATTGAGTTACAGTTGAGTTGCAGCTGGATCTTTCAGAGAACAGCATTACAAATTGTCCCAGCATAGTACAGCCACAGTATCAAGGCCAAAACGTGTTTGGTTTAAGCACAAGGCAAAACGTGGCATTTTGGGAGGTGGGGGTGGGGAGAGGAGAGGTGATGGGGAAAAGCTAAAAATATGTTGGAATGGGGGAAAGAAAAATACATTGGAAGATTGGGGATGGGAGTTAGACAAAGAGGATATGTTGCACTTGAAGCAAGAATTCTGGTGGCAGCAAAGGGGAGAAACCCATAAGAAGACTCTGGAAAATTCAGGGGATTACTGGAAGTGCTGGTTGGATATACTGTTCTAGAAACAAGGACTTCATATGCTGGGAAGACTTGAGATAGTAGTTTGGAACTGAAGCCATGCAGAACAGAGAAAAAGAATAACTCTAAACTTTGTTTCAGCCCAAACCTGGAACAATCAAAATATTCCAAGCTTCAGTTCTCTCAATCTGCAACTCACTCAAAAAAGTTCAACAGAAGCGTTGAAACAGAATGTGTCTCCTTCACATTAAAAATAAAATAAATGCTTTCTTTTGTGCATAGACCTAGCTTTTCCTAGTAGCTGTTTCTTAAAGCCTGTGCAGACTTGCCTTTTCTTGGACTTTCACATCCTGAAATTTCAGAAACTTAAATTGGGAAGTATAATATGTCTCACGAAACTTTGCGATCTTAGTGTTGCGTTCTGAATGCTTCCCTCTTCTCTTTTAAAGTATTATTTTCCATGTTACTCTGTGATTTTTTGAGGACTTGTATAAACAAAGAGTGAAAATAATAACCAAAAGTAAAAAATTTTCTCTCCACAGAGGATGTTACCCCCATTCCTTCAGACAGCACTCGCAGAAAGGGCGGTCGCCGTGGTCGTCGTCTGTAAAATAGGGGCTGTTGTATTTCATCATTAAAGCTTTCCAATATATCTCTCTTCTCATTTGTTTTTCTCTTCTATAAATTTAGTCACCACTGCTGTTCTGCGAAGTGTATCTTTGACTTGCCTTTTAAGTCTTTTCTCAATAATTATTGACATGAAAAACATCCTCCCTGTCTGGACAGGGTTTTTTTCTTTCTTTTGCCTCCTAATAGCTCCCACAGGCACTTTAGTGTATTCCTTTTCACTTAAAAGTTGTTTTACTATGAAGCTGCTTAGTGCAAAATTAAACCCTAAAGCAATAAAGCAGCATTGCGAAGGAAGACTCAGTTAAGTAGAGTTTGGAGGTAATGCATAATCTTGGTAGTTAAAAGTAGAGGCAGAGAATGGCTGCATTCTTTGTATAGATTGAGCTCTTTGTCTTCTTGGATGACTGATTCCCCAAATGAGCTCAGCTTCCAATCTGAAAGACTGCTATACAAAATTGGCCAGTGTGCATTGAATTTCTAAAGTTCTCTCAGAAAAGGCATTTTGGAAAGCAGCAGATAGCCTCAAATCTTTTGATCCTCATTCCTGACAAAATTTTAATTTTGGTGGGAAAACTGGGCATATATATGATTGGGCAACAATATTCAAAGACTACCCAGAAATATCCTTGACTCTATGCAATGGAATTGACTGACATGTAAGAAGGCATGGTGTTAACAGAAATAGTCTTGGTTTAAATTTGGAGGGAAAACCAACCATAGAACTTCTGTGCAAGAAGCATTTACCCATCTTGGTGGTCCATGTTGTGACCCAATTCTATAATTACAGTACCCTGTATAAATAAACATAGTTTGCTTGTTAATGCCAAACTCCTTAATTTAGACTATTATATACTACCATTAAAAAAAATGTCCCTGTCCATGAGAAACTTGTCTTTTTCCTTTTTTTACCTGACCATCAGGCCTGGTGCTCTTGGATCATCTCTACAGCAGGATTATTGAATCGATACTAGATTTTTGTGTGACACTTCAGATATGTAAATTCTAAGATAGTTAAAGTTTATTGGGTATTGGATAGTTAAAGTATTGGGATATAAATTATAACCTAGTACAATGGAGATAACCAGAATGGAAACTGACCTGAACTTTTATTTTCCAATATTTAGTCCATTGCTGACATTGGTAGGCAAATCTTTCCCAACTTTAGCTCTATTGAAGATAAAAGCTCCAGTCTATTAGCTCAAGTTTTGCCTCTTGTTTTGGAGCCCACTGACATTAAGTATACTTAAAAGACAGCTTCCCCTTTTGAAAATAGTTTAGAGAAGCAATCTCATGATTTCTTCGTAGTCTCATTCTGTGAAAATGGCATCTTGGAAAAAAATTTCCTCTTTTCTGTGCATGCTTGTTAATGTAGAAGTGACTCATTTGAAAACGAATCCATGAAATTGCTAGTAAAAACCAAAATATAAAGACAGGATGGCCAGGTAGATGGTAAGAAATCAGTCATTTCACAATGTAATGTTACTAAGCCAACATTCACAACAGAATGCTATCATTATGTAAAGCTTTTGAGAACATAGCACATTGCAAAGTATGCTACCGTGGTTTTGTTCTAAAATGTTCTGTAGTTCCTCTATCAATGAATTCTCCTTTTAACATCTCCAAAACCAGTTGATCTGTTTCCTAACTGAAACAAAAAAACACAATGTTTATTGAGAGGCTGAGTTTCACCTCAATAGGGGGTTGGTATTGGCTATTACCACTATTGCTAATAAAATTCTATTTTAATATTAACCTAATCATCAGAATGTAGTGAAAAGAAGGCTGTATTTTCTATCTCTTGGGGGTAGCAAGACATACCTCATGGTCCATACCAGTGGTGGGTTTCAAAAATTTTTACTACCGGTTCTGTGGGAGTGGCTTGGTGGGTGTGGCAGGGGAAGGATACTGTAAAATCCCCATTCCCACCCCATTCCAGGGGAAGGATACTGCAAAATCCCCATTTCTTCCCAATCAGCTGGGACTTGAGAGGCAGAGAATAGATGGGAGTGGGGCCAGTCAGAATTTTTACTATTGGTTCTCAGAACTATTCAAAATTTCCGCTGCCGGTTCTCCAAAACTGGTCAGAACCTGCTGAAACCCATCTCTGGTCCATACTCCAATATATTTCTCTTTAATAAGGTGTTTAATATTCTCTTTAATAAGACATTTTTCCCTTAATATAATCACTAGGTGGCAGTACTATCTAACCATGGCTCTCTGAAAAAAGCTGGGTTGGACCTAGTTGGTATTTGGCCAACTAGAGGCCATCAATGAATCCCAACCCTGTACAATAGACTGGGAAGAAGAAGACGATAAAACCACTTCTCTGTTGTTAATGAGAAAACTACATCCATATCAATCAAATCGTTTTAAAGAGTCATAGCCCAACATAAGGCGCGTGGGATATAAACAATATTTTTTTAAAAAAGCTAAAAAGTATTAAATCAGTAGGAGCCAAGGTGGCCCTAACCAGCAGCTCCTGAAAAGACCTCCCAACCTCTCACTCCTCTGGCTCAATCCTTTGACCTAAAAATGCCACCCAGAGGCAAGAAGAGAACCAGAAGCAGCCTCAATAATGATACCGGGACCCATAAATCTAAACTGTATGAGTATTTTCTTGGAGCACCAGGAAATATATTTCATTTGGAGACGTGCCTTTTTAAGGTCTGAATGAAAAACACCCACATTTGTGAAGTTTTATCTTCTGAACTGTGAAAAGTTACTCTTAATAAGACCCATTTTGCTCAGAAGCAGCCCATCAGTTCAGGGGTTGCTCAGAAGCAGCCCCTAAAGAACCCCAGGTCTTCTTCAAAACTGTTGAGCATTGGTGGAAAATCTGGCCACAAAGGACTGAGTAACTTGCTGTGATATATGATAGCCACAGAACGTGTGCACTAAACCATGGGAGCATGTACCCATCTCCTTTGCCCTGTCTTCACCAGAGATCAGCTGATTTTTCTGATACTTTTAGTATGGGAATATTCCTGGTCTGGTTTAATCTCTCAATCGAACTTGCTGATCAGGGAAATGATTACCTGATCAGGTATTAAAGAAAGCATATAAGTTAAACTATGCCTACTGGCTGGTTGGGAAAAATAGTCAAAGGACTATATTTAAATCATGATTTGAATATTTGAACTGCTCCTGAGGATTAGGACTCCTCTCAAGTAGATCTTAGATTAAAAAGGGCTTCAAAGGAAAGAAGATGAGTGGAAAGCACAATTGATCAGCAATGTCTACTCATGATGCTGGATTTTATCTTGTGCTGTGATACTATAGATTAGGAAACTGTCCAGATTCTCAGATCATCTGTTGTATTTTAATCTGTTACAAATTCTAGCCTAAATTTAAATTTCTGCCTAACATAAGCCACTGGATAAAATGACTGCATTAAAACTGGGCCTCTGATCTAGCTCAAAAACTTATTTTAAAATGAACGAAATAATGGCCATATTGCTATTTGTTTTAGCACTGCTAAGGTGCCTATAAGAACTGTTGGGTACATAATTCCAATGTTTCTTACTCTCAAATTGAGAAATACTGCATTATCCCTATCCAGAAAACCGTTATTTCTACAATGCAGAATGGAGGAACTATCACCTAACATCCGATTTCCCATCTCTATTCCTCTGCCATTATGTATAAAAAAGGGTTATAACTGGAATAACCAAAAATGACTCCTTTTTGGATGTCTTTGCTAATTGATTAATGTATTGATTCAGTGTCTCTGAAATATTCTTTGGAGTGGATCTTTTCATAGATAATGTTATAGATCAGGAGTCCCCAACCTTTTGGACCTCAGGGACCACTAATTTCATAATTTTAAATCCCGTGGACCACTAATATGATCTGCCTAATGACCAGCTGGGTGGGCATAGCTAGGTGGTCATGTGACTGGGTGGGTGTGGCCAACTTGATGTCACTCATGTTGAGGGGCGCCTTGCCAGCCTCTACTCGCCCCTTCCAGCCACTCCTCGCCTGCCCGCCCGGGCTCCTTAGGGCCCCAACAGGAAGCAGTTGTTGGAGCTAAGCAGCCACCACGAGAAAGAGTTGGCAAAACAGCTGGCTCAGTTCAAATTGGATCTGACCAAGAAGGAGGCTCAGCAGAAGCACCTCATGGAGGACTAGGAGCATAGGCTTTCCAAGCAGAGGGAAGACCTGCAGGAGTGCAAGGCCAGGTACCAGCACCTGGAGGCTCAGCGGGCTGAGATGGTCAGCCAGTTCCAGGCCATGATGCAGTCCCACTGGAAAAAGGCCCTCCGGCTCTTTGCCACCAGTGGCGCTTCCCTCCAGCCTTCACCCAAAGTCCTGCACCAGGAGGCTGAAGCAGACCCCAAGTTGGAATTTCTGCCCCCCTCCAACCCGCACAAAAAGACCCCAAAGGGGGAGACTCTCTGCAGCAACACAAACGTTCATTGCACGTATCTGTCCCAGGGGCCTTAATTTGAAGACCCCAATTTAGTGCAATATAAGAAATACAAATAATTTTTCTACAGACCACCAAAATTTTCTCCGTACCACTGGTTAGTGACCACTGTTATAGATAATGTAAATTCTTGCCCGTTAATGTCTGTTTTCCTGCTTTTTCCTGCCCTTTAATTGTTTGTACCAGTTAATGTTTTGATATTTCCTGATACTTAATAAATAATAAAATGATACAGGTACCAAGACAGATCTTGAAAGGAGTGGTGTATTCTTGCTCTGATCTGAATATAAGAATTGACTAGGAATTTGTTGGGTGCAAACTAAACTGGAAATTGCCCTCAATCATTTCCCAGCAAGAACTAGTTGAGGATAAGACTTTCCAAAATTCAGAATTCTACATCCTGTTCTGGGGTTGAAGTTTCTGTGAGAATTTTACCTATGAAACATTTCTCATTGAGGGGTGGAATGAACTAGATGCTAGCTCTCTGTCAGTTGGCACTTATTAAAACACATGCAAAAGTACTCTCAGGAAGAGACACCATTTTGAGTATGGAGAGAGTCAAAATAATTGGAATAGGGAAGCAACATCAACGTGAA